GGCACGGGTGTGTTGCCGATCTTTCAGGGAATGGTGCTCTCTATTCTTACAGGCTCCTAAATCGTATCGGATTGGAAATACCTCTAATGGCAGCTGGTGTCACAAAGAGGTGGTGCGCGGCAGAAAGTGCCTTAAAAATCGCTGTGAAACGCCAGGCGTCGAGATGAAATGGATGGAATTTTGTATTCTGCCTCGACGTACGACGACCAAATTCATCCGTAGGAATTAGTCCGAACAATTCTTGAGAGCAGAGCGTAGTGTACCTGTGAAACCCAAGGACCCACACATTTCTGCGTCTCTTTCATTCTTCTAATTCTCTTTCAATCATTATAGAGTCTGACACAGGTCATGATTGAGTTTAAGATTCGATTTCCCCACTTTCGTTACCGAAAATGAGAACTGTGCACACCCCATCACAACCGAAGTACACAGGATCTCAAGATACAAGGATTACTAAGAAACTTGAATTTCCACAGATATGAACAAAATCAAACCTTAATCTTGACATTTGTATTTTAATATTAAATTATTACAATTTTATCATATTTATAAAGATTAAATGTTACATATTGATTATACTAATACATCAAAGAAAGATAACGATAGCAAATCCCTAGAGGGACTCTGAGATGCGTTAAGTAACTGTCAGACAGGCCTTAATATCTCAGAGTATGAGGGATGAGATCTACACTTAAAAATACGCTTTAAAATGTTTCTTGGACACCATTAAAACATTTAAAAGCACAATAATAATAATCTTTATTTCATTTTTTCTCACAAAAACTTTGTCCATAAACAAGTAACAGTTATATAGTATTATAAATAAATTGTCTTACTTCTATTTAGGGAAAATAGTAGTTTGTGTGATACTTATGCCGTACATGTGTTACAGGTCATCAGGCCTCCACCATTTCGGATCGACAGGTCTTAAAAAGTAGAGAAAAATTTAGTGAGAATAAACAATCATTATTACATAGGCTGCAACGCTAAGCAAAAAAAATATTCATAAGAATACTCATATTAGGAAACCACATGGGGTAAAACTAAAGCTAAAACTATTATACTATAAATTATTACCTAACATTTAACATAAATTTAGTATCAACTTTATACTCAACCATTTAATTATGGTAAGCATTTTTTCTGTTTCCTATAAAACAATATACTCATATATATTTGATTATATTTTGTTGAACACTATATCAAGTTATTGTAATACCCATACGAGACAAGCGTAATCCGACGTCGCAGCTATAAGGTAATCACTTTTACATGCCGATGAAAATCAATGATAATGAATATTCATGCATCGAATTTTTCACCTTGCAACAGTCACAGGAGTATCTGTGAAAGTAACAGCGTACAAGTATTACAATACCTGTTACATATCGTATTAAGTATTACAAATACTATCATTGACATGTGTGTTACACATTACACTCACACATGCACTCAGGCGTGTTACGAGTCACGTAATGATTTGTGTTTAAAACAATTTGGGATGATGTTAATAATAAAATAAGAATAAAAATTTTAATTGAAAAAACAAAAATAATGTAAAGGAATTAACTATTACGTTTATTATAGAAGAGCTGGGAACCCTGACACGAGTATTTTCTACTTAAAAGGGTTCTCAAATCTTACACGCATTAGTATAATGAATAAAAACATTTATATTTATATTTGACAGAGCAATAACGCAAACCCATAATTTCTAAAACTGCAGCATATCTGGTATATACTAGCAGAACTAAATTTTTACCGGTTCAATCTATTTAAAAGAAACTTAATGTTTTATTCAATTAATTCTGGAATCAAATTGATAATCTATGAGATTTGGTAAAAGATTATTCAAGTAGATTTGCGTCAAATCATCACGCCATTGATAATTCTTATCTAAACAACTAAAACAACTCGCAGGTGTTACTGAAAATGTATTAAAGGTACTTTATTCGTATTAAGGCTCGTTAACCTTATCATATGCCTTTAACCAAAGTTACAAACGTCACAAATACTAGCTAGTACGAGTAGAAACTCAGTAATACGCGTATGTAGTGTATCGCGTATATTTTTGATCCCAATAATTGCTTTAACTAGGGATACTTGTTATAACGGTCGGTTGGCTCGTGTTACGGAAAATTAATACAATCGAAAATTATTGTCCCATTTTTACTCGGTATCAAGAATACGTCAAAGCGGATTAACAGATATACTATTTATAGCAAGATACGACAGATTTCACGTGTATTATGTACGTAAATACACAATTAGATATTTTATACAATCTTATAGAAATGTAGAATACATATCACAAATTGGACTCACGATAGAACCAAAATATTTTTGATCAAAAATACTATATATCGAGAACAAGGTTAGGCCTAGGTTCAGCTGGACCGACAGAGTGAAAAACGACCTGTGCTTCAGCTGTAAGCAATTGGCTGGAAGTTGTCATTTCGTAGGCCACTTTTGGATCGCAGATCGAAGTGAATGACTGATTAACCAGTTTTTTGCGACTAATTTATTTTAGTTACCTCTTTTTGAAGATATTTGATCTTATAAAAAATAGTTCTCATCCAAGATTCAGAATCGCGACATAGCACGAAAGTACTCCCCGTATGTCAAAATCTAATATATTTTTGACGTGCGAAAGTTACACTAATAAAATTCTCAATATAGTGTTACCATGCTTACCATTAGCTTTTAATATTTATTGAATTAAATTCATTACAATTTTTATTAAAAATTCTATATAATATATAAAATTCTCGTGTCACATTGTTCGTTCCCATACTCCTCTGAAACGGCTCGACTGATTCTTATGAAATTTTTATGCATATTCAGTAAGTCTGTGAATCGGCTACTATATATATACAGCATACAAAAATACATACAACCCCAAATTTTCACCCCTCTACGATCAACCCCTATTTTTTTAATATTGTAGATACATAGATACTTTTATTGAACTAAAAAAATTGTTTCCAAGAAATAATATAGATGGCAAAACAAACTTTTGCCGGGTCAGCTAGTAATGATATAATAAACATGTTGAATTTTAAAATAAGCGCGCATTGCTCATTTGACTAAGTCTCTTGGTAAGGAATTTACATTTAGAAATTACCGTCCAAAGAGAGAGATGGTGGTGTCGGATTACCTAATAGAATATAAAACTGTGTATATGCACATGGGCAATCTTTTGACTTTAACTTGTATAGTGAATCAAGTAATAGTGTGTTTAATTTAATACTTTTATCCATCGCTGATAGCGTCTCCGTATAGGATCGCATACAGCCATATGCATGCGTCTACTGTGTTACAAAGTTCATAAATACGCTATCTTCTTCATAAAAGAATTCAAATATAATTCAAGAACTATGCGTTACAGGTATTCAGAAAGTTTCGCCGTAAGACGATTAGACCTGCCTTCGCTCACCTACGAAATTGGACCCGAACTTTATCACGATGAAAATTTAATTAAAATATTTACATAGTAATTGCAATTGTTTAATCGATTTTAGATCTCAATTATTGGAGTTATTTTATGACGAGTTTAAAACTTAACAATAAATCTAAATGGTGCTATAAAAGGTTATTTGTGGGGATCATACAATATTTACAAAATGATAGGGAACAGGAGGATACAGGAACTGAACTGTCGATGTCAAAATAGGCTAGGTCTGGATATCCATAGTCGCTCCCCTTACACTTTGAAATCTATTTTCCTTTAGTTTGTACAATTTTTTTTTCTTCGTGATTGAGAAGCAGTGTTGGCCAAATTACAACGTGCGATTCTCATCCCTGAGGTAGTATGATCAATCCCCGGCTGTACACAAATGGATTTTCACTCGTATGTGCGCATTTAATACTAGCTCGTACGGTGAAGGAAACATCACGAAAATTGTAAGGGAACCTGTCAGCCACAGAATGCTCATGATCATCGCCTTGCCAATTAAAAAATGATTACTTACTAATTATTGAATTGTTTTAACGCTGTTGTGAAATGAGACTAAGAACCCACATTGTATAGACCAATTACTGTTACCCTAAAGCGACTGTTCACGTTCACAATAACAAAAAAAGAAAATTGTTTTTTTTTGTTTTTTCGTTAAAATATTCCATTAAACCTCTTCAGAGAAAAAATTTAAGGAATAAATAACCAAAAATCACTCGAATTGGTCCAGTCATCTTCGAGTTTAGCACTTTACTTAGCAAGCAACATATTTTATTATATATAGATTGTATGTTATAGGTTATTATGTATATTATAGGCTATTTGACATGTTTAGCTGTTAAAGAGAGTAATCCGAGTAAAATATGTCTTTAACAAATGTTGTTAAAATGTAAATAATCATTAATTTTTAATAAAAATTGATTTTTATATATCGGCCACAAAACACAACGCTTACAGATTAGTGGAATCGGCGATGACGTGTCAGGATTATAAATGTCTTTCTAAACAATCTTGGAGTTTAATTGATTTGCGTCGGAGACTGACTTTGATCGAAATGTATGTATTCGTGAGATTTAAGACTTATAATTAACACGTAAAAACTTAGTTTGCCCATTAACATGCTGTACCATGCATAGGGAAGCGATTTGGCGGGTTTTAGAAATAATAAATGTTTAATTATAATTTTTAAATACTATTACTAATTTGTATAGGTTCTGTGAAATAATATGTGAAATTATGTCAAATAGCCGAGCAATTTCGAGAAAAGAGCGTATCAAAAACAAAAATTAAAAAACATTCTTAAATTAAGCATTGAGTGTCAACATAAGATGAGCCTCTTGCCAGTTTGCCCCTGTTCTATCAAAAAAAAATAATCTTGCGTCTCAAACATAATGAAAGATATAAACTGTATATATTTTATACCGGGCATTGGGAATATTGTAATCAACCAAACATCAACCGCGTAATTCTAGAAAAGCTCGATCCAGGAAATAAATGAAACACAAATAAATTTCGGTTTACTTACATCACAATAACGAATTTAATATTAAAATGCTCTGCTGATTGCAAACAAAGCAATGTTATTAATTTTCATAAAATAACATAAAAAGCAAACATATAAAGCACATAGAACTACCAAACACATAGCTAGAGCATATGACTGATTAATAATAGTTAATAACAAAGAGGATATAAAGAATAAAAGCATACACACAGCGTGGAAGAGAAGGTAAACGCATTGGTATCTCACTGGACTACGCCGCTTCAAATAACTCGCCAGCATCATGAATGTTGCTACAAACAGATGTAAATATAACAACCCAAACACAAATTCTACAATGGTACTCGTAGAGTCTTCTAATTGTGGCTTTCTTGCTGACAGAAGTAGCAGCAACGCCATAAACAAAATCATTGGTAGCAAAGATGATACGGCCACCAGTAAAAATATTTTACGCATTTGCACACAACTGTAGCATGGTATTTCGTCGGATTCTTCAATTATTATCGACATTTTTTAAATGATTTCGTTTTGAATTAGCTTGACGTACCGTTTGACGGACGAGTTCGGGGTTGCTAACATAAAAAAATAAAAAGAAGATCATTTTCTTTGAGTAGTTTTACATTTATACCAATTAATTTATGTAGTTTTAATTTCCATTTTAATTCAAGTTTAAGCAGAAATTTAATTTTTGTAGTGAAACTCCTTAAGGCGCATGAGTTTAAAAAATTTACGGAACGTCACGAAGATGTGCAGCGTTTTTCTTTTGTCGAAGAAAAGGGAGAGAGCGATTGAGACCGATACATATCATTATTATTTTATTAAGTAACTAAATTGCAATTTTTTTGTTGGGTTTGTATTTTTGTAAGGGCACAGAACCAAGACCTTTTTTGCTACGCCCCAGTTGGCTATTTTAGAAAATGAGAGGCATAAGTTAGCAATTATGATAATAATGAATTTGTTATATTATTTGGTAATTGTTACCATACCAATGGTGGTATTTCTATAATATACATAACAACAACTGATTTTAGTTCTGGTTTTTTAATTAGCCTTAGCCTTATCATTCATTAATATAGAAAGACTGGCAAAATTTAATTATGGAATTTGGGCAGCTTAATTACTTAATAATTAATTTACAAAGAAGTTTCACTTTTGACATGTGTACTTTGTACAAACGCCCTTTTTTAAAATTAATTTCTACTGAAATTGACAGGGTTACTTGTTAGTAAAAATTTAATTTCTGCTTAAACTTGCTTAAACAATGAGCAAGAATATAATACTTACTTTACTATTAGACCTTAAAGCCAAGAGTTTTAAAGTAATGTGGTTAAATGTAGCAAACATAAAACACCTGTTTATTGTACACAATATAGAATTTAAAGTTAGAGCTTTGCTTTTTGGTAAGTAAATTCACATTCACGCATAATTATTGTGTTAAATAAATATATTTCTTTAAATACAAACAGTAAAACTATATTTTTATAATTACATTCATGCCAATACATTACAAATACTTATGTGTGCTTGGATGCAAAATATAGTAGAGAAAACCAGACTACATGCGAAGCAGATTTAATGATAGTCTCCATGTCTTCAGTCGTTGCAGCCACAGTTGATCCGTCACCAATAGTAACAATTGCAAAGTAGAAATATATTACATTTTTAAATTGAACAACAATTGCATTACAAATGTATTTTTAATCTAGTTTTTTTTGAAGTGAAACTTCTTTATCGAGGTTGAAAAAAAATTTAGTGTAACATTTTTTCGTTACGCGTCACATTTTTCGGTTACGCGCCATGTTGCTTTTTGAAGTCAAACTTCTTTATCGGCGTTGGAATGAAACTTCTTTATCGACGTATGGGAGAAATTTTGTAGCAAATCGTCACGTTTTTCAATGATAGTAATAATTCTATTACAATTATAATAATCTTCGTAGTAATAAGGTAAAATGAAATATTTGTATTCATGTCTATGATAATAAAAGCCTTTTGTTAAACTTTATCTAATTTAACGAATTTCTGTAAAGTTGCATATAGTAGATCATTTTCGAAAAATAAGATCATAAAGAAGTTTCACTTCTTACGTGTGTACACCTAGTACACGCATAATTTATTTATATAAGTCTTTATCGTGCAATCAGTCAGCTAGACTATGAGTAGATGTGTTGAGAGCTGTTAGGCGTTCAGAGCAAAATCTCCATCGAGACTGCTGCTCTCTTTCAACCGTGTCTATCAAGACTTAGGATTTGTCGCCTTCCGGTATGGTTAGTTGCGTGGCAAGCTTATTAGGATGCATTTCTAGCCTTTTTCTGTATTTCATACTCCAGGTCTTGATCTAGTTAGACTTTTATTTTTAAGACATACGTAATTTTCTCTTCATCGTAATGTGTCCCTCTAAATGTTGTGCACACTTGTCATTGATGCCCATGCATGTATTGTGTTTTTGTATGTGTGTGTTCTCTGTAAGTGTGTGCCTTTTAAAATAAATATTTGTAGGCCTACCTACAAACGATGTAAATTTTTATATAAAATATATTACATAACGCTTTAGCGTGTTCCCACTCTATGGTTATGAGATACTTAATCTGTCAGCATCGCGAAGTATTATACTGAGTTGACGGGACATTTATCAAGATATACATTAACCTGTCTCCGCTCCAATTTATGTCATATTATGCGTTCATTTGATAATGTGGTCACAGCTCGTTTAAGCAAATACCTTGCTAAGATACGTGAAAACTTTGGAGATACATAAATTGCGATTTTTTTTTTACCTAATAACGATAATTATAGATAGTTATGGAGCAGTGTTGGCCTAGTAGCTTCAGCGTGCGACTCTCATACCTGAGGTCGTAGGTTCGATCCCCGGCTGTGCACTAATGTGTCTTTCTATGTGCGCATTTAACATTTGCTCGAACGGTGAAGGAAAACATCGTGAGGAAACCGACATGTCTTAGACCCAAAAAGTCGACGGCGTGAGTCAGGCACTGAAGGCTGATCACCTATTTGCCTATTACACTTAAAATGATCATGAAACAGATTCAGAAATCTGAGGCCAAGACCTAAAAAGGTTGTAGCGCCACTGATTGTTTTAAAGATAGTTATGACATTGTGTCATACAATGAGCTGACCTTGGGTCTTATTTTTGACAAACGCAAATAAAAACTAAGACTAAAATACTTAAGGTACATGGAGTAACATTTTGCTAAACAGAAAACTCTTTAAAGTAAATGAACATTGATGTATTTTTTTTATAGAAAAAGCGTTAGATAGAAAATTTGTGTTCTTTGGGTTTTCTCCCCGTTTGATAAGTTAATTTATATTTTTTATCAATTTATGAAGATTATTATGGAAACGTCACTTATTGATACGAGAAATTAAAAAAAAAGGGTGCGTGTACTTATGTACGCGCGTAAGAAGTTATACTTCTTTGGCATTATTAAAAATAGTTTTTAATTGCATGCAAATAATTAATTACAATTAAATAATCAAAGACTGGAAAAGGAGTCATTAAAGTCAATAAAGTTCAGTTTACATTTGAAAAATTAATTAAATAAATATTTATTATTATTCTCTTATTTTATATATATATAAACACTATTTATCTTTAAAACATTTTTATTTCATTATACTATTTATTTTTAAGTGACTCTAATGTCTTCATCAGAATTTCGGTTTGTAATTTTAAATTAATCATTACTTGGTTGTGCATCTACGAGGCTTCTCCAAAACTACTTGCTTTCTGCAACAAATAAGAGAATATTAATTTAAGCTCTGTCCATGCAAAACTTAAAATTTTTTATAATTCATATTATAAATTTTTAACACATTTATATTAATATAATTATATAAATGTGTTAATAATATAATTTGTAGCACATGCTACAGACCTGGATAGCAACTTTCTTTTATTCTATTTAGAGATAGAGATAATTTAAATATAATACCGGTGTCTTCCTTGTAGGTTTCTTTGGAGTTGTTTGGGGATTCTTGTTGTTCAGTTCGACATGATTTTCTTTAACCTTTCTTTAATCCTACAAAATAATGAAATTGTTAAGTTATGTTGTCACTGTTGTGCACACCTTTGTTTGGCTTTTTTAGTATTCAAGTTATGTCAAAACTGATTTATTACCTTGTCATTGTTGGCTTTATTTGCTTTTGGGATATCAATTGTTTCCAAAATGATTTTATTTGTAATAACCTGAAATATATAAATAACATCTATTAATTTAAGTATCATGGTGAGTGGTTCGCACTCAGGTATTAAGGTGTATTATACCCACTGTCACTCACTTCTGGCAGGACAGAGTTTCGGTACTACAAGTGCAACATGGATGTTTTGAGGTATTACAATATCTCTAACTACCCTGTAGGGGAATAAAGTAATGTTGTAAGCATATGCCTATGCTTGAAAGGTTGAACCTTGAACATCACCATACATCATATTTATAATTAACATTCCTACCTCGACACCATCACAATCAAATTCATTGAAATCTACTTCAAACCCTTGTGGCTTTGTTCCACCTCCAGTTTTTGATGTTTCACGGCGATAAGATGACAACTCTTTTTTTGTATTCAATTTAGTGCACTTCCACTGATTCATCAATTGTTTTTTGTCTCTTGTCCTTATATTTGCTAGATTAAATCTGATGTTTTGATTAAATAATGTGGTCATTTTTTTGAGATGCAGGTACTTATTAAAATGTTTACTTCTCTGTTATATCGCTCCAAGCCTTCATTTTCTCCTTATTAGTATTCGTGCTTAAATCTTTGTTCTCAATTATTGATATATAGGGTCGTAGAATATTTCTAAAAAGTTGCTGTAACAAACGCAATAAACAAAAGCAATGAATAATGGTTCATGTTTCAGTTTTAATCAACAATAATACTCGATAATACATACGGATAGTTAACCTCAATTGTATTGAAGCACTCAGGAAGGTTAGCACAGTTTTTTCACAAATATTTTATATTATTTCACAAATATTTTGTATAATGAAAATAACTAGGTATATAATTATTAATTTTAAACAATAATTAAAACTCCTATATTTGTTTAAAAGGTAAATGTCATTGTCAGATGTCAATTGTCATGGTCATTCAAAATTCTTGTTAAGCTGCTAAGCTAGAATATGCGTGAAGTTAGCTTCACGCATATTCTATTTCTTTTTACTTGTAGTTTGTCTTATTCCCATCTCGCTCGCGCACGCTATATCACACTGCCAATTTTGTGTCATAGGTGCGCGCGCAATCGTAAAATTTCACTCTCATCAATTTTTCATAACGCGCCTAAAGAAGTACAACTTCAAAAAAATGATTGAATATTTAAGGCACAAATAGTAATAGAAAATTTTAATTTAACACTTCAAAATGCAACTGTTTTGAAAATGAAAGACAAAACTATTTTGTAACTTAAGTAATCGGTAATTTGCACACAAATTTATTCCATAAGAATAAAAACTCATCCAAGAATCCTATAGAAATTATATTTTGCATATGGGCTTATATATTAAGCAGATAATATAATCGTTCTATAATTATAAAAATTTGTAGATAATCTTTTAATGTTTGCTTAATTTTGATGATAAGCATTTTCACTAATCTTTTAGCTAGTAAGTATTTGAAAAACGTGTTTTTGTATAAAATTTTCTTGCGTGATAAACATGCACATAGATTTGGTTATTACAAACAATTCATGATTGTCATTAGGCAATCACAACTAAGCGTAACGCGCCATCTTTCCATCTAAACTCTGATTTTACATTCCATAGAATTCTGACATTTCATAAGAGTTGATACAAAAAACTTTTTCCACTGAAAAAGCGACAAATTTGACTTATTTGAGGGCAATAAAAAAATTCTACGTATTTTTACCTACAAAAAGGTAGACCTAAATATTTACTTACTCAAGTAACCTAATACAAAAATAACAAATATTTCAATATCACGAACAATATTTTATTCTTTAGCTGGCATCACTGCCATAATAGTTATCTTTACTTATGCGTTTTTTACTGTGTGTGATGAAAAGGGTCGTAATTATCACTCGCCGTTAAACTTTTAATGTGGAGCACCGCACTTAATAAAATGCATGCATTAACTAACAATAAAATGTATGTACTCAGATGTTCAGACAACAGAAAAATGTTCCCGGCCAAAAAGGTCTCTGCCATGTCAAATGATAGTTGTCAGAATTCTACGGAATTAAAAATCAGAGTATAGTTTATTTTTCGCTATTTAAAAAATCAAGGGCCGTAGTTTCATTCATGCCCGTTCCTTATACATATATGGAAATACCGAGATTTTACATTTGCAATGTAACGCGACGTGTTGAGTAAATCACTACCGTAACGAGAATTGTGACAAAGCCTACATTATTGAAATGAGTGCGTGACACAGATTTGAGTTCGCTTCGAGAGTATTTTGAGATATAGGACGCGAGTCCTTAATTTATTTAATTAAAATTTTTATTCGTTTTCTATTTCGGCTTAATGACAATTATTATGAAAACTCAAACTCAAAATATCTTTATTCATATAGGTAAACAAGTTCACTTATGAACGTCAAAAAAGAAGTTAAATTAATTGTAAATTTACATTTACTACCAGTTCGCAAGTCAAGGGCGTACAGCGGGCAAGAAACTTTCCGCAGTTTTAAGTTTTATTTTTTTTATATATATTATATTATCTATTATATTATACTATCTATAACTCAGCGAGTGACGGATATTTTTATTTATTTACACTTCGTTACATTTAAGAAAAACAAATAACATAAAAGTTATAAGGAATGCAACGGGCGGCCTTATCACTAACTAATTTTCTCTTCCAGGCAACCCTTCCAACAACTAATAAAATAATATGATGGGTAAAGTGCAAGAACTGCATAACCAAATCTTATAAAAAAATAGAATGACAAACCTTAAAGGAGCTTTCAAGTATTACGTAACGAATTGGAGGGGGGGGTTCTTTTGTAAAACGTTACGATGTGGGTGGTGATTTAATTTCGCGATATTGTTAATATTATTTTCACACCACATAATGGTAACTTTAGGTATAAAGAGTCACTGGGTGATCACGAAACGTTTTACTACTGCGTACAGGAAAACGTTACAGCGCGTTACATGGGGAGGGGGTCAATAATCTCCAAAAATTACGTGACGTAATACTTAAACGTCTAAAATAATAAACTAAAAAGATATTAAGAAAATTATAAATACTGTATTTCTTAAAATATATTTATAACATATCCATAATTTATTAAATTATAAAAGATATTTCATATTTTAATATATATTGCAAAGAAAAAAAAGCTCCTACTCTAAATGTATTTTTAGTAGAAATAATTATAAACCCTAATATTTAAAGAAAGATCTTTCAGTTCACAAGTACGTAATTAATACCCGGTCGTTGGCCTTGGCTTTGCACTTCAATATCACAAAGACACGATAGCGATATCATTTAAAAATCAATAACGTTGCCAACAAATTGGTATAAACATCCAACGACATTATTTACGAACTAATTTCAAATCTTTACAAATTTTTGCGCAGCTTACAAAGATGTCATAACATACTTAGGAAGAAAGTACTTGGCTATTGGTTTAAGAATTCAAGACAAAACAACAAGGCTTGAACCTTGATGGCTGGAAGTCTTCCACAGTCCGTTTCACAAGGCACTTTCTTTTGCGAACTAGCGAACTGTGGAATCGACTCTTCGGGGGGAGATACGACCTCCAACTATTCAAAGTTAGAGTGTACTCCTTCCTCAATGGCCGGCAGCGCACCCACTTAGGCTCGTTTGCCCCCTATTATATAAAAAAAAGGTATGCATTGTGTTGAGAAGTAATTATTTTCGTCCGGTTCGGATAGTTTTACTTGCTGATAAGAAATTGATATTACAAATAAAAAAGGAAAGCAATTTAAAGCAAAGAAATGGCATCTTCTGAAACATACTTGTATGTAACAATTTGTCAGATGAATGTGTCCTACAGATGCCCACAGTATTCGACATAATTAATATTTTGCTCTTCTGTCTGAATTATAGTTTATTTGTGTCTGTTTTTTACTTATACCTATTTAATGTGTCCATCTTTTTGATAAGATTGGTTGTTATTACCTGAAAGATAAAAACATAACGTTATTATTTATTAGGAAAAATATTGTAAATAAAAAATATACCATATTTTTATTGCATATTAGTTAACATAACAACAACTCAACCAGTTAAAGAATCAAAAATAATAACGCATTTCATATACATTCACATTAACATAGGGATTAAACCGTCATTTAAAAATTAAAAATATATATAAAATACTTAAGTTATATATACGATTCGAGGGTGCAGTGAACTCGTAATTTAAAAATATTTCCCAATCATTGCACTGCAGTCTTATCTATACTTAAAGGATTAGGCGCTTGTGACTTGCCAGTTACATGTGTTGTAGCAATATCTAGAATTAATATTTACAAATTAAACAATAAAGAAAATTAAGTTAATTTATGATAAGGTAAATTTACAATAATTTAATTCACTAATTTAGCAACTTTTTCACATAGTTAATGCCAAGTCCGCGATAACACTTGCTGAGCGTTGAAGATGATTTCTTATGAGGTTGAACATTTTATTTCAATCTACCATTGTACTACTGTGTTTCTACTGTGTTCTACTGTGTGTTGTAGTACGAGACAAAATTAAGGTTAAATGAAGATAATTTATGTTTGGTACACACTTCATTTTTAATTTTCTATATTATTTGTACTAATATATTTTTTAAGAGTGTGGTGCCCGCGTCTTTGTATATTTACGATAAATGACTTAAATTTTCTTATTAACTACGTATACATGACAGGTATTTTTTATAGTATAGGGGGAACGAGGAGCAACGTGGGTGTATCAAACGCAAACAATAAATTATATATCTAAGCCATAAAATCGGATTATTATGAAGCATGGCAATTAGATAACAAAAAGGGTTTTTATTATTTTAAATTCAATAATTTAAATTCATGTACCTTATTTAAGGAAAGGTAGAATGGAAAGTGAACTTGAAAGATATTTAGACAAAAATAATTAACTAACTACCAACTATTAAATATATATTCTTATGAATGCTAATAAAAACAAATAAATTAAATTAATAATTATAAGGATACTATTAGTTAAATAATTAAAGAACAGTACTGAACTGATGTAGGAACAAATACTGCGAAGTTATTACGTAAGCCGTCTAAATGAGTTACCGTAATAAATAATTCCAAACTGACGAATTATAATTGAAATAAGCACTTTGTAAGAAAGTACAGATTCAAGTAAATTTTTCAGAAGTCAATTCTATTTCACAGAGATTCTGCATATAAAACAATCAATAGCATAATCATTTCAATTGTTTTTTATCTAATGATAATCAAATGATTGCTTGAGTTTATCATATATTTATATATTTACAGCTTTAAAGTCATTAAACACGTATTAAATGCACATGTTTCGCATGGATTAAGTCGCAGTAAGTACTTAGATCATCAAAAGATAGCATCTTTTGATTTATCTACGTAGGATTATGATAAGGATTTTATAAAGGTATGACAGAGAAAGAAAGCATCAAAATTGCGTAAACAATGGCACGTGTTCTATCATTTGTGATATTTATTATATGTGTTAACATATGCTCCTCCATTGATGATACCAGGAGTAAACTGTCAACTGTAAGTATAAAATTATTCTAAGGTTTCTGAAGTACATTAAGTAAAATGTTGACGTTTAAAATAAACAAATTCTAAGTAACCCAATGACCACAAACAAACAACTCAAACCGAATTGGACATTTGTATGAAAAGTTTAGAATATTTTGATGGCAGTTTGTTTATCTCTTTACTGTAGATGTCAGCCTATAGGGTTTTGAAAATTTTCCATTTTCAGTTTATCCATGGCACAACAATATCACAAAAACAAAAAACTATCTAGAAACAAATGAATGAATGTGAAATTTAAGAAACACGGATTTTGAATAAATTTTATTTGAATTTGGCGCCAATCCATAGATATTTAAATGTGTAAATCCTGATTATACAATCCAATTACATAGGTAACATATTACTTTCCAAAATAGGTAAAAGAGAAAAACATAATCTAAATATTATAAAAAAAAGATCTTGCTACATAGGTTGATACGTTGATATCATGCTGTACGTAGAACTTGATCAAGCATACGTAGCTATATATGTGAATTTGACAAGAGTAACGTAAAACACATCTAATATAGAAATAGACCCACACCATAGCTCACTTGGTCTTTACCAAGTCTTATTGAAGACTTGAATTCAGTTTCTGAGAAACTAATAAACAGAACTGATAGATTCAAAGAAACCACACGCTCAATATTTATTTAGTAAAATAAAATGCGTCTTCCTGTTTTATTTTAATCAACAAACACTTGATTGTATTGATTAAATTAATCGCGCCATATATCGTGTAATTTCCCATACACTATCTATTATAGATAAAAGTTTCACGATATATTAGGTGATCACACTAAATTCTAAACCGCGATAATTTTATTACAATTTCCGCCTTTATCAATCTAATCGGAATTGTTACAAAAAGTATAACATGTTCGCTACTTAAATCCATAGATTATATATATAGAATATAAAATGATGTCTAAATAAAATTTTATTGATAGCAAATTGCTGTATTTTTTCGTATTATAAAACAAGTAACGCACATATGACATTTGACAGATGACAAGACAAATACTGACTGACATAATTTTCTTATGACAAATGACAGCTGGCTTAGATCACGTGAGTAAAATAGTATTCCAACAAGACTGAACATTAAGTGACTTGTTTAAATGGCCATATTTCGATTGTTTCGTATGGAGATCGGCTTTTTATTTTAAAACCGTACACTTTGAATTCAACCCGAAGCAGGAGGTATATAATATGAAATATCTGATATACATATAATCGTTATATCGCAATCTGTAATGATAAAAATTATCGACAGATGATAACTATCCTTAGCAGTATTATTGAAATATTAATAACGAAATTATTAGGATTTAGATAGACTTTTAAATGATTGATTTGATTGATTTAGAAGCGATTAAAACTGTAATTTAGAAACGTAATTGTATTTTGTAATTGATTCCAGTATGACAGAATTCGAAAAGATGGATACCCATCAGAGAAATATGATCTGATAACATCAGATGGCTATATTCTCCAAATCAACAGAATTCCTCGAGGCAAGAATGATTACTTAGATTTCTTCCGCCAACGACCAGTTGTTTTCCTCCAACATGGACTGCAAAGCTCTGCTTCCTCCTTCCTGGGCATTGGTATTAACTCCAGTCTTGGTAAGAAAGAAGAAGAGCAAGAATATTTATAAGATATTTAATGAATTTGGCAAATAAATAATTTAGCCTGTTTCAGTTCAGTCAATATAATCTAATGAATTGCTAAATAACTTTCTAGCAATCGATACATAGATGTTTTAACAGGCCGTCTTTTCGCTTGAATATCTTATACTACGTAATGGACTTTAATACGGTTTATATAAATAGATTGAGACAACAAAGAAGATTTATATTATGTATCTATATCTTTATACTCACAATTTTACTGCACGTGTGTATGTCACTGAAGTCCTCTTAGACGGCTGGACTGATTTTAATGATTTTTTTTGTATACGTTTGAGTGGCGCCCTGGATGATTTAGATTCACAAATTAGCCCAGCAGATGGCGCTGCAGTCCGTACTTTCATACTTTGTATAATATCCTAATCGCTTTAAATATCATGCAACGTCTGTCGGGTCCGCTAGTATATATAATGTATCTGTAATCTATGTATATATGATATCTTTATGTATGAAAATAGATTATCAGAATGTTAAAATTTAAATCATTTAAAATCAAAAATCTTATTATTACAAAAGCTGGTATGTGAAGCTAAATTAACACAGCATTTGATCTTTTCAGCGTATTACCTTGCCGATAGTGGCTTCGATGTCTGGATAGGAAATGCGCGAGGTGTCAAAAACTCTCGTCGTCATCTCTTTCTGAGCCCTGACAACGAAGACACCAAACGCCAGTTTTGGGATTTCTCTTTCGAAGAAGTAGCCTTAATTGATCTGCCCCATATGATAGATTTTGCGCTGTCTCGCACACGACAGAAGAAACTCCACTATGTCGGTCATTCGCAGGGAGGGACTGTCTTTTTAATCTTGAACTCAAGGAAACCGGAATACAATGAGAAGATTGCGTCTGCGCACTTGCTAGCTGGAGTTGGATACCAGAATGACTTTCCTAACTGGGTTCTTTCTCAAGCTGCAGCCAGGACAGATGATATTCTGGTAAGTTTTAAATTGACTTTTTTTAAAGTAATGTGTAAAAGTTAAAAGAAATAAATATAGAGTCGATTTAACTTAAAGATAAGTGAAGTATACGAGAAAGAGAAAAGCCGATTCAAAATATCTAGGATAATGAAAATTTATTATAAGCGTGGAATTTCTAACCGCGTGTCTGTCTTGAAACTGTTATTCTTGGAAACAACTTTAATAAAACAGACCAGAACACAAGAAAAAAAAATTGTGCGTGTACTAGGTGTACACACGTAAGAAGTGAAACTTCTTTATGATCTTATTTCTAAATGATCTACTATATGCAACTTTACAGAAATTCGTTAAATTAGATAAAGTTTAACAAAAGGCTTTTATTATCATAGACATGAATACAAATATTTCATTTTACCTTATTACTACAAAGATTATTATAGAATTTCATTAATTGTAATAGAATTATTACTATCATTGAAAAACGTGACGATTTTCTACAAAATTTCTCCCATACGTCGATAAAGAAGTTTCATTCCAACGCCGATAAAGAAGTTGGACTTCAAAAAGCAACATGGCGCGTAACCGAAAAATGTGACGCGTAACGAAAAAATGTTACACTAAATTTTTTTCCAACCTCGATAAAGAAGTTTCACTTCAAAAGTACGTGCGTACAAGTGAAACTTCTTTGGCAAACCAATTTTTAAGTGTTGTTCATATTTATACAAATTTAAAACTTTGAATTTTCGAGACTTAGAGGGAGGGAAAAAGGAAGTTGTTAGGAATTTAATTATTAAAGTATTAAGTGGCGAAAATTAATACAAATAATAAATTTATTTCTTCCATAAAAAACACGTGGCATTTTAATTTACAACTCGTCATTTGAGATTTTAATAAATTATTTTGCATAAAATATAAAATACTAATATTTCATAAATTCTCTTTAAGAAATTTAAATTTTAAAAATAGAATTTCTATAAGGTAATTCGCCCTTCTCACTGTCTCTCAATCGCTCTCTTCGACAAAAACGCTGCACATCTTCGTGACGATCCTTAAAAATTTTACCCTCATGCGCCTAAAGAAATTTCACTTCAAGAAGTAATTCTAATCTATCCTTGTTTTAGGAGTCAAATGTAAAAACTTGAATTTATAATGTCTATAGGTTATGTTATTGTCTATATCGTTATTCGTGCGTACATAATTCGTTAGAATTGTTCCTCTTTTCAATGTTTTATAACTCTTATTATTATAAACATGTATACCTTTTTCAGGCTCTGACATCTTTGTTTGGCTTCGTAGAAGTCTTAGCACCACCAAGAAATGAAAAGCCAAATCTGGGCGAATTAATTGAATCAGTAAATAATATGGAAATACCTAAGAATAAAAATGACCTTTTCGAGTTAATATATTTAATAATGCAGACTATGGTAAGTTTTACTTACGTATTTTATCACAAAATATAAACTGCCATATAATTCACGGTATAAATATTAATTTAAACGTCGAAAAAATAAAATGAACGTCGTTTTTTCATTAGTTGAAACAGGCTGTATTCAAATTTACATCTAATTATAGTTACTATTTTCCTGCAACTATTTTCTGAAATGGGCCACAAACGTTTAAGATAAAAATCGGTTGTCTGTAAAGTCGGTTTACTGACGATAGTTGAACGTGACAACTTCATAAGAAAATACTGAAAACACTGCACTTCATACTTGACAAAAACATGTAAATGTATTTTTGTATAGCAGCTCTCCACGTGGACGCATCGTTCACTTAAATAGGAGAATGACAGATGTCGAACGCTGCCGAACGCGGAGGCCGATTGTGCCCCTTTGTCGCTCGTTCCGCGCTCTCGCTTGCACTTCTAGCCTTAAATGGAACGCCTCAGAGCGAGGTAACGCCACATGAGTCATGTTTTTTCGTGCGTGCAGCCGGCTCCATCGAATTATAAGACGTTGTCACGTCAAAACACAAGTATTTCATTCTCTAAACTCTTGTTTAATTATACTAAATGCATTGCAGGAAGAGATCTCCCGTGCAAAGGAAAGTTTAAGTGGAGCGGCAGTCAAGCAATACGCCCATTATGGCCAAAACATTCGAGATAAATCATTCAGGAGTTTCGATCATGGCCTCCTTGGTAACCTATTGAAGTATGGAAGATACACACCTCCGGAATACGACTTAAAGAATATTAAAGTTAACATGACAATGCATTACACTCTTGGAGACATCCTTCTTCATGAACGAGACGTCCTAGCAATGTCCGAGGCTATACCTAACTGCAAAGTTAGGAAGGTCGCCCGTAAAGATTTCTCTCACACCGATTTCCTCCTAGCCAGAGACACTAGAGAATTAGTTTTCGATTACTTGATTGATGATTTAAAAAGACGAAAATAAATAAAGCCGTTGCAATGTTTTAAAGCCAGATCTGTACGTTATGACAATAACGGATTTTATAATAAATTGTTTTATATAAAATGTTTTTAAATTGAAAAGCTACCAGACCCAGACAGCGTAATATGAACGTCCGTATGTGTAAACCTAACACACTGAACCCAGACTAACATAAATATATAGTCTACTAGCTGACCGGGCAAACGTCGTTTTGCCATGTATATCACTTATAATAAAAAATAGGGGTTGATCGTAGAGGAGTGAAAATTAGGGGTTGCATGTATTTTTTAATGCTGTATCATAAAAAAATATAAACAAAAAAAATATCTAAAAATTAAAACAAAATAATTTAGGGGTGGTCTACCCTTAACATTTAGGAGGGATGAAAAATAGATGTTGTCAAATTCTCAGACATACCCAATATGCACACAAAATTTCATGAGAATCGGTCAAGCCGTTTTGGAGGAGTTTAACTACAAACACCGCGACACGAGAATTTTATATACTAGATTAAAGCTTCTTATATTTATGTGTGTTAAAGAAAGTAAAAGTCTGACCTGAAGTCTGAAGTTCTGTCTAATTGGAGTCTCGTTACAAAAATAGTATTTCGTCTCTGTCTGTCAAATTGTGTTGAGTACTTCTGTTAGAACGAAGCAATAAGACTCATTCATGTTAAAGTATGCAGTATAGTAAGTATAAAGTAAGGGGTAAAATTATACATACTTGATTTTCGGTTAGTGAACATAATGGAATTTATGACCTTGGTTGTAACGACTATTTAGCTATAGCAACGTTAAATCTAACGTAATATAACGCCGAGTTCGGGTATAGCGACTGTAAAAAAAGTAAAAGTAAAAAAATCATTTAATCACATAGGTAACATAATGTACACTTATGACTTGTCAGTAAAGAAATTCATATTAATGCTTCTAATTTTACATTTACTGCCAGTTCTCAAAAACTGTTGTAACAAGTTCTTATAAATCCAGATATTGCGACCGGAGTCGATCGATAAAGATACAGAAATATATGTTTAAAGTGGTCCCTTCATTTAGTAATAACTGAAATCTACTTTACACACACACACATATGTGCCCTTTTTAATTCCTCTATAAAAACTACTATCATAGTAGACACAGGAATCTAGCATTCGTGACACGGGTTTAAGGGTAAAATTTTTATGAATAATCAGACACAGAGGTCGGATTTGGATCTATTAAGAATTGGTCCGCTCTTTTCTTGTAGGACCCTTAGTCGAATTGGTTCGGATAGTGGTGGTACTCTGCAAAAACTGCCTTTAAAACGCTCAGTTGTAGAACGAAAGATGTCGAAGTGATGCGGCTGGAATTTCGCACTCTGCCTCGACGTGCGATGAAACTCAGCAGCTGGTATTAATCCGAACAACTCCTCTGAACACTCTCCATGGTAAATGCGGTAGAAGATGCAGAGTGACCCCACATCTCTACGCAACGCCAAAGGATCAAGCCGCTCGGAGAGGGATTGCTCGTCGACGATTCGAACCGCTCTGCGTTGTATACTGTCAAGACTTAAGATGTCATGTGGAACATGGTGCAATTTTTGCAGCTCCTTACAAACATTGTGTAAATCCAAAATCTTGGCGATTAAAAAGAGTGGCGGAGAGTTTACCGCGTTTTAGCTGCCCACTGAAGTATTGGTACGCTCAAGAAAAGAGCGTACCAATTCTTAAAAGGCCGGCAACGCACTCGCGAGCCCTCTGGCATTGAGAGTGTCCATGGGCGGCGGTATCACTTAACATCAGGTGAGCCTCCTGCCCGTTTGGCCCCCGTTCTATTAAAAAAAAGTAATTTAAAGTTAATTAATAATAATAAAATAAATTTAAAACAAAGATTTGTCCTCTATCAGCAGGAGGCATGGTGAAATAGGAGCACGCACTTACATTTTCGTGGGAACAACACGCAAATACATAGTCGAAATAAATATCATCACCGCATACACGAATTCAAGTACGACCAGTCACCATCCGTTCACGAGTATGACGCATGGCCAGCCATCGGCCCCCTCGCCATATTTTAGGGAGAGAGACAACCCGACGCATGGACGCCATTACACAGGTGCTGAGGCTGTTCACAGGGGGAACGGAGGAAGATGTGCAACACCAACAGGACCTTCAGTATTGAATAACGAAGAAAAAACGACTAAAGAAGAAAAAAGTAATTAAAAAATTCAAATTCTATTTAAAGAGTAATTATTCATATTAAACAAAAACAAAAAACAACATGAAAAGTATTATCTGTGAAAATCTCGAAAAGCGATTTATTTAGTATAAGTACTGATCATGACTGACGCCAACTGAGGATTAGTTCAAAATAGATAAATTTAATTAATTGTGATAAGAATTTTTATAAAAATACGTCGGACTAGAATAACGCTTTAAAATTGTATACACAATGATACGGGAACTGTCTTTGGTGATTTTTCTAGTGTGTGTACACACTTGTTCATCGTTGGATGAAAATAGGAGAAAACTTTCAACTGTAAGTAATTACATACTTATTCGAATTATAATAGGTACTACCGCTATCGTTAAGGAAAGAAAATATAATTGTGATGAAACTTATATGTTTTTTTTAATTGACATTTATTTTATTAAATACATGGTTCAGGTGTGCAATATATAATTAAATAATATTTAATGAATAGTGTAGCAAAAAGGGACTTTCTTTCTATGTGCGCATTTAACATTCGTTCGAACGGTGAAGGAAAACATCGTGAGGGTAGTTTAGGGTAGTAGGACTCCTTTCTCCGCAATTAGACTCCTAATTGGTCCGTTGTTCGTACTTCTAAACATCGTGAGGAAACCGGCTTGCTTTAGACCCAAACAGTCGACGGAGTGTGATCACCTAATTGCCTATTAGATTGAAAAATGATCATGAAACAGATTCAGAAATCTGAGGCCCAGACCTAAATAGGTTGCAGCGCCGCTGATTTTTTTAGATGTGCCATAGGGAATAAATTTATTTAGACCATTATTTCAGATTATATATTGTACATACTAAAACATGTATAACTAATATTATAATAATTTCAGCATGAAAGAATACGCGCAGATGGTTACCCATCACAATACTTTGATCTGATCACATCAGATGGTTACATTCTTCAAGTGAACAGAATTCCGCGGGGCAGAAGAGATTTCTTTGACTTCCGTCGCCGTCCCATAGTCTTCCTCCAACATGGATTGCAAAGTTCTGCAAACGCCTTCCTTGGAATTGATGTTGATACCAGTCTTGGTATGTATCAATTTTTAATGTGTGAATTTCACCGACACTCATATAGTGAACCTGTCACTTAACCAGTTACATCAAAGACATTAACTATATGATAGCAATATTAAATAATTCAAACTCCTTTATTTGTTTAAAAGGTACTACAAAGGTCATTATGGTCATTCAAAATTCTTGGCATAGCTAGTATTGAAAAATTAAACTTATATGAAATGTTTTCTTTGTTTCGTTTCTCATTTCTCAACCATTCAGTGGCAGGGAACAGCTAGTATTTAGTATTATCTTTTATTGACATAACTTTTAGACATAGAAAAACAAACGGGCAGGAGGCTCACAAGTGCCCATGGACACTCACATTGCCAGAAGGCTCTCAAGTGCGTTGCCGTTGTATCAAAATAATGAGTGCACCATACAAACATATTATTAGATATATCCCAGATACTTAATAAAGATTAACAAAAACCGTCTCTATTCCAGCTTACAACCTCGCTGACCGCGGTTTCGATGTCTGGTTGGGAAATTCCAGAGGTGTAGAGAACTCGCGTCGCCATCTCTTTTTGGACCCCGATAGCGATTCAACAAAACGCCAATTCTGGGATTTTACATTTGAAGAAATCGCCCTGATTGATCTTCCACGTATGATAGACTTTGCTTTATCCCACACTGGACAGGACAAACTCCACTACGTTGGCCATTCGCAAGGCGGCACTGTTTTCTTAATTTTGAACTCAAGGAAACCGGAATATAACAAAAAGTTCATATCGGCACACTTGCTGGCAGGAGTTGGATATCAGGATCATTTCCCGAGCTGGCTAATAGGTCGAGCTGCCGCCAGGTCTGACGTGATTCGAGTAAGTTATTGTCTGGTCTTTCTAATGATACATCCTTCTGAGGAGACTTCTCATGTTTTGTAAATTTGGTAGTACTGTTAAGTATGATGTCAAGTTTAAAAGGACGGGAACGTTAAATGGATTTTATGAGTAATTCAAGCGAATTGCTATTATTTGACGGAACGAGAGACGAATGTACAAATACTTTCTGTATTTATAAAACTAGCGACCCGCCCCTTCGCACGGATGCAATGCTGATACTAAATTCAAAGTGCTATAGAGTATAGGGAGAACCGCGGCCTCGAACGCGCTGCGTCCCGCAATTTTGAAATTTGTAATATCTTCGAAAATATTCATTTAAATCATATGCTGTAAAGGGCCATATAGAGCTATATTAAATCAACAATGTATTTAAGGTATTTAATTGGATAAGGATTAAAAATTAGCCATTATTTGTCATACAAAGTAAATGACAAAAAAATGTTATTGTGAGATATCCATGAGAGATAGACAAATACCATCGCGGAGTTTTCTGTAGACCTTTTCAATGTGTACAATACTTAGTACATTATTTTGATAAATCTCGTAGGGATCGCAATGTAAGCGTAAAAATGTGATTATTTACGATTTACGAAATCACATTAGAAACCTCAAAAATAACAGTATTTCTCCAACCATATTCAATGGATGTTTTTATACATATAAACCTTCCTCTTCAATCACTCTATCTATTAAAAAAACCGCATCAAAATCCGTTCCGTAGTTATAAAGATTAAAACATACATAGGGACAGAGAGAGAGTTATTATACATATAAACCTTCCTCTTCAATCACTCTATCTATTAAAAAAACCGCATCAAAATCCGTTCCGTAGTTATAAAGATTAAAACATACATAGGGACAGAGAAAGCGACTTTGTTTTATACTATGTAGTGATATAGAGTCCAGAAGACGAAATTAAACTCTCCGATGGCGACATACGATTCCTATAATTAGGTGCCCAAAAAATTGGTTGATTAGAATAAAGTTTTTCAAACATTATTCTCTTTTCAGGCTCTAACTTACTTGTTAGGCTACGTGGAAATCTTGGGACCGTCCGACGATGGAAAATCAAATCTTGGTGAACTAGTCAACGCGGCGTCAACCAGTGACATTCAGCCCAAAAACGCTTTGTGGGACTTGATATCGATAATCAAACAAGCTATGGTAGGTTTTCTCTTAAATTTCAGAGACTTTAAAAAATAGCGAATGAAAAGATCGCCTGTACAAGTCAGTTAAAGGATCGAATAATGCGCGTAGCATAGCCGTTCAAATAAAAACAAATGATTGGTTACTATAGTAAAGGAAATCACGTAAGGCCGCTTGTTCTTACTGTTTATTATTTTCAAGCTCTTTATAAATACATAACGAAACGAGACAATTAATAAGAGGAAGTAATATCTGTCAATTGACTATATTGATTTTGACATAGGTAAGTATGTGATAAGTCTTTTGTGTTTGATATGCGTATGGAGTTTTCGGGCTTCCTCACTATATTTCCTTCACGGAATGAGCAGAAGAACAGATAGAACGCTGAACCTTGACACAGTTATTTAATAAAAACGTGTGTGTACTTATGTACACGCGTTTAAGAAGTTATACTTCTTTGGCGTAATAAGTTAAAATTCTTTTCAAAAATTTTATCTTTCGCCTTATTTTACGTTTGTAGAACAAACGACAATAACAATAGAAAAAATTCACTCTCATCATTTTTCTCTAATGCGCAAAAATAAGTGTAACTTCAAAAAAACTAAAATGTTTAGTATAGCTAACTTCAGGGTGTGTTTTTCTAACGGTGTGCGCGCGCATCGTAAAAATTTACTCTCATAATTTTTTCCTAACGCGCCAAAAGGATAACTTCAAAAATACCTATTGTATAAAGTATATTATTCTTACAGGACGAGATGTCTCGCGCAAAGGCCGGTATTAACGGAGCTGCCGTGAAGCAATACGCCCACTACGGACAGAACATTCGCGACAAATCGTTCAGGAGTTATGACCATGGCCTATTGCAAAACCTTGTCCGATACGGCAGTATCACACCCCCAGAATACGACCTAAGTAAGATCGCAGTTGATATGACAATGCATTACACTCTTGGAGACATTCTTCTTGATGAGCAAGACGTGTTAGCGATGGCAGAGGCTATACCAAACTGCAAAGTCCGAAGGGTCGCCCGTGAAGATTTCTCACACACAGATTTCGTTAGGGCTAGAGACTCGAAGGAATTGGTGTACGAATATGTCATCGACGATTTGAAACGGCGCAAATAATTGTATGAAATGAATAAATCATCATAAATATAACATTTGTCTTAGTTGGATCTGGTATTTGTTGTGATGTTATTAAAAGGTTTTTATCATAATAATTAATGATATTATAACAAAAGTATAATATAAATATAAATAATAATTTATTTATTTATTTATTTCGTAATCCTACAGCTAACAAAAATTATATATATATATATACTTAAATCAATTACAGTAAAAATATAGCCCGACACAAACAAAAGGGAACAAAACAATACAACATATTCACTACAACTAACTAAGTTATACCTAATTAGGCTGTGATAGTGTAAAAGTGAGCGTATGTACGTGAAGGTGTGTATGTGGGGTATGCTTCTAATGAGGTGATTTTGCGCTATGGATATTCTTAATACTCCTTTAATAATATCAGTTTTATTCTTTAGTAAGCGCCTACTTTTTAGCATGACTATTGGAAAAGTGACTGATGTAAGTTTAATGTGTATTTTCATATGCACCAAAATGCAATATTAACGTTGTATCATTAAAATAAAACATCTTAAACAAACGCCAATTTATATTACTAACCATCCACAGCTTACCCGCGTGGATTTGGTGATTTTTGCGACCTCTTCAACAATTATTGTTATATTTCAGTTTCAGTAAATTAACATTAACAATTATAATTCATCAGCCTTCCATCAGGAATTTCTATTTTCGTCTTTCTCTATCGTGACGTGTCAAGAGCTTTTCAGTGATCGTGGTTAGCCAATTCGACTTAGGGTCCTTCAAGAAAAGAGCGTACCAATTCTTGAAAGGCCGGCAACGCACTCGCGAGCCCTTTGGCATTGAGAGTGTCCATGGGCGGCGGTATCACTTAACATCAGGTGAGTCTCCTGCCCGTTTGCCCCCTGTTCTATAAAAAAAAAAGCAAATGATTGAAAAAGTTTACATGAGCAAACTAAAATGTATAAAGACAATATTCTGTCAGGTTCATATAGTCTGGTGTTGTCGTTCGATGGTTGAATTGCGTTTACTTATCAAAGTTACAGTTTAATTTTTTTGTAAAAAACAAAAAAACCAGGTGCCGCAACATGTCTCTTTTAGTCCATCTTTAAGGTGCGCTTACACGGGCAACTAAAATTGCTCAATTCCAGTCAATACTCGTCAACTATGACGTCACGACTACATCAAGCAATTTACCGTTGTTGCCGTGAGGCAACAAGCATTAATACTGCGCAATACAATATTGAGCGATATGGCGCAACTTCATCAACTAGGCAATACTGTCATACACGAGCATTTCAGTATTCGCTCGCTATGGACGACATTGTTGTTGCTGCGGCGGCTTGTAGCGCTTTTTTTATTATTAATCAAAAACAAAAAGAAAGAAAAGGAATAGGCGTCTGGTGCGTCAAATCTGGGTGCGATCGTTTTTGGCAAAGAGGCCGCAATTTTCATTGTGAAAATAAATTAAACAATTAAAGAAAAAATAATTAATTAATTAAATTAATAATAATTAAATTTTCAATTTTTTTTTTAATTTTTCTTTAATTCTTTAATTTAATTGTTTGTTTTTTTCAAGAATTCGATAATATATTATTCAAAAACTTTACTAGAATGTCACGAACAGACTTGGAATTACTTTTGAATAAAGTAATTAGAAATTATTATTATTTAGACCTCTCGCTCTCCCCGCGGAAGCAAGACGGCAGGCAAAACAAACAAGTGCGAATGAGATATATACGAAAATTGCTAGGAATTTCCAAGTCCATTGGATATTCGTCAATTCGTATCTGCGACATTGAGCGATATTAAATATCTGGAGCAATTTGAAGCAATATCACCGAAATAATTTATTGAAATTTATTAAATTTATTGAAATTGCTCCATTAATTGCTCCAGATCGGTCCATTCGTGTCGCCGAGCAATTATTGCCCTCGTGTAAGCGCACCATTATATGAAAGAAGGCAATACCCTTCAATCAACTTTTGTTTTGCTTTGCTCTGTATCATATTTTTTACTAGCGAAACTTTTTGTGGATACATCCAATGTGTTTATTTGATGTTTTATTTTATAACTTTTTTTATTTTTTAGAGATGTATCTGTTTTGTCTCCCAAATAAATAAATCTTCCAAGCCAAAAACTGTCTTACTAAAAAAATGGTATGTATGTCGCAGCCAACTAGCTTAATTAGCCGTTCAATTAACAGCCTAGCCTATTAACTAAACGGCGCCGTTTAACTAGCGGCCTGAAAGATGTTCAGCCAGTTGATCAAACAGCTAGGCAAATGATTCGGATCGAGGACGTTTCATTACTTGCCTAGCCTGTTGACTGTTAATTTAAATTTAATTCTACTTTCTGCCACTCTCAAACGCGAAACGAAACTCTTCAAACTGTCAATATGGCGTCGGCAAACCACAATTTTGATGGTGTCTTCCCTAGTTTCATGAAAAACAACAAGTACAATGGAACAGTGTAGTGACAATAATAATGTGAATTTGACTCAAGCAATTTAATTTGAAAAGAAATATTTTTTTATTTTTTATATATTTATTTATGTCATATGTTTCACCTTTTTTATTTCTTCCAAATAATGACTATCGTACGAATGGCCTAATCATTAGCCAGCCAGTTTATTAAATGTTGTAACAAACGCTACGGCTGAATATCTTTCAGGCCGCTAGTTGAACGGCGCCGTTTAGTTAAAAGGCTAGGCTGTTAATTGAACGTCTAATTAAGCTAGTTGGCTGCGACATGTACACAAATAATATATGCAGATATTTAAATATTTAAACCGAACTCTGTTTTATATTTTTTGTCATATGTAGTTTTATTTTCATTAATATGGTTATGGTCGAACAAACAGTGCTTTTTCTAATATATAAAATTCTCGTGTCACAGTTTTCGTTGCCATACTCCTCCAAAACGGCTCGACCGATTCTCATGAAATTTTGTGTGCATATTGGGTTTGTCTGAGAATCGGACAACATCTATTTTTCATCCCCCTAAATGTTAAGGGTAGTCCACCCCTAAATATTTTTTTTTTATTTTTAGATATTAGCATTAAAAAATACATACAAACCCCTAACTTTCACCCCTCTACGATCAACCCCTATTTTTTTATTATAAATTATATATATGGCAAAACGACGTTTGCCCGGTCAGCTAGTTTATTTATAATAATATTACAGAGTATCTATCACAGATTACATAATATACCTATATTAACACTAAAAAATCTAAAGTTACCAAAATATGCATCGCTGATCATTATTGATTGTTACTCCGATCTTGGTTAACAAACACATGGAGGTTTCGGTCTGGGATTTTTTATTGAACGGGAGCCACAATTGGCGGAGCCGTCTGTGCTGAGTGATATTGCAGCAAATCCATACTCACACTTCAAACGAGAGTTCTGCTAGTATTTTAGGAACACGCTCGAAAGCTGTGCCATAAAGGAAGCTGAAAGCTGGCCCTAAAAAATGGTTGTAGACAGAACTTACTGATTCTATTATTTTACACCAATTAACATTTAAATGGACGTTTACAATCTATGTATTTTTATTATTCGTGAAATAAGTTATTACATTACTTTTCGTTACGCAAACTAGAGAAGTCTACGTTTGCCAACGGATTTACCTATCAAGTCGAAGACTCTTCTTACTCAAAAGTATACATAGTAAAAAAAGAAGCGGAGGACAGATATCGGTGAAGGCAAAGCATTGGCGCGAGATCCTACTCTTGGTAGACCACGATTCTCAGATACGAGTGGGAGGGAGAGGCATTACTAACATATATGTATTATGCTGTATAAAAAAGTGTGTGTACTTTGTGTACACGCGTTAGAAGTTATACTTCTTTGGCGTAATAATTTTCTCCGAGCACTTTAGAGGGACGTTTCCCTTCCAATCGAAACAATATAATATTATGTACTAATCATGATATTTTACAATAAATACTATGTTGTTTAACACATTGGAACGGGTTTTCTCGTATAGAAATCATTATTTTGGTTTAAATAAACACGACTCTGAAAAACACTACGCCATGACAGACCATGCTTGTCGTTCTGGGCCGCTAGTTCGCGCTTACACTGTGTAAGCGCGACGCGGCCCAGACTGTTTTACCGACGTTTGAACACATATTCAGGGTGTCGATTTTTTGTGACGGTGTACGCATCGTTACTTACTCTCATCGTTTTTCCCTAACGCGCCAAAAGAAGTATAACTTCAAAAGTATAACTTCAAAAGTATAAAATCAATTGCATAACAACGCCTATACATTACAACCTGTACTAATCCTTTTTATTTTTATTATACTAAACAAAACATAGATTAGAGACGATTCGTAGTTTTGACCGATTTATGACCATAACATTTTTGCAATCCACTTATGCTACATAAAACTAATCAATATCGTCGCCATAAATTTTAATCTAGATTAGAAATTGCGCAAACAGTAGCCAACAACCTATATCTAAACTAATATAAATTAATCCTGCTTACGTGTTGTTTTCCTTTAACAAGTTTATGGCATGCAAATTAAATTTTACGATTATCTTTATTACTATAGGGTATGTATCCAATATCAAGTTCACATTAGGAATGACTTGTTGATTTGGTTATCGAAGAGTTGCTTGTAGCTAATATGTGACGCGAGTTTCCTCGCCGTAAGAGCGATTGTTAGATTGCTGCGGGGGTCGAACCTACGCTCAAGCCTCTAGGGCAAACCTTTAGGAAGACATTGAATCTTACATTCCCCAGGTCCCCCCAGGTCAGGTTTCCACAGGGCTCGTAAACAATCTAAGTGTACATGATTGTATAAAGCCATTGTTTAAAAACCGGTTTAAAACATCTGACGGATCACGATTTCAATTCATATGACCGGGGACCGATATTGATAATTGACCATTCATTGCTTGCAATTAGCACATAGCCACACACATTTATAAAAATAAGTCAGTCAACTTAGACTCTTTTCTTGTGTTTATGATGTAAAGAAAAGAGACAGATTATGTTGACTTTAGTTAAGAAGGGAAGGGATTTATTTATTTACACTTGGTTGCATTATAATATAAAAATTTAACATAATTACACGTAAGAAAAAAGTAAAGAAAAAAAACGTATTAAATTACATATAAAGGCAAGAAGTGCAAAAATACATGTATTATAGTTAAGAAAAATAAACTAAACAGGAACAAAAAACAAACTAAACTAATAAAGGATACATGAAAAAAAAAATTATTAAAAGTGCACATGAATGATAATAATTTAATTTAAGATCAGTCTCCTCGGGATTGGCACGTTATGTATATGTTAACGTAAAATTGTAAATACCGTTAGATTGTAATCTATCTCGCGAGATTATAAACTGTCGAAAGATTGTGAACTTAACGTACTGCTTACAATTTAACGTATTATTATTCGGTAGATTATAATCTATCGAAGTGAAATCGTCAAATTGTGAAACGGTAAGCACCTCGCGCGCTGATTGGTCGGCTTTATAGTAGACCGTTATATTATGTCCATAGAGTTAGGAATGAAACAAGGGTATCGGTCAAATAAAATGAATGCACTTCAAAAATTAGTATTTATTATATCAATAATTCTGACATCACATGATGAAAAAAAAATATATCAAAATAAAAAAATCAGAAACGTAACAATATTTTCTCTTCAAACACAAATTAAAATTGAAAAATTAATGAAATTTTCTTTTAGAAAAAAACGATCACAGAATAAAATCAAAATTTAAAAAAAAACAAATCGAAAACATATGAACGTTTTTGAAAACATAACAAAATTGTCTATTATATAAAAAATAAGAAAGTAAATTGCATCAATAAAAATGTTCAATTATTGTTGCACGTCAACGAGTTGTGGCACCTGGAGTTACAAAGGACATTAGCTTTCTTTTTATTTTTTTGCAATTAAATTTTTTACTATTTTCATTATGCCCGCTGTAATAGTTTTGTAACTTTATGGTAAATTCTTTCTTATTAACAATACCTAATATTTCTGAGTTTTGTTGATCGACAGGCTCAATATCCGACATTGTAAATACGAGATCACAAAGGTTCACGCGAATAAAAAAATATTAAAACACGGAAAATGTATGTAATTTAGACTATGTTTGGAGACCAACACTAACTTAATTATCATTCAAACTGCACTTCTTTGGTCAATCACAGATTAATTTTACTTCCACAACATTTTCATATAACTTTTCACGTTCACTTTCAACATCCTAAAGCTGTGAGTTACTTTCAAGACGACATCAATTTACATTCATCAAAACAATCAATTTACATTCGACAACAAACGAATTAACAAACAAATATGGTGGCACGGGGCATATTCCGTTCAACCAATCAGCGCGCGAGGTGCGTACCGTTTCACAATTTGACGATTTCACTTCGATAGATTATAATCTACCGAATAATAATACGTTAAATTGTAAGCAATACGTTGAGTTCACAATTTTTCGACAGTTTACAATCTCGCGAGATAGATTACAATCTAACGGTTTTTACAATTTTACGTTGACATATACGTACGTCTGGATAATTGATGTAAATGTTGGTGTGGGCCTCAGATCATTTGCTTTTCCAATAGGCATGTAGGTGATCATTCTTCTGCGGATGACACACGCCGTCGACTTTTTTCTGTATAAGGCTATATATATACGTATATCTTCGTATTTTCAAAGAACTCAGCGGATCGTTGTCTTATATGAAATAATATGAGCAACCATTCAAAAGCCCGCAGTGAAAGCTTTTAAATTTCGTTACCTTTATACTTGTTTACAGGAAAAGCACTCTCAGGGATAAGATAAATAAAGTACTATAAGAATAACAAAGAAACTATATAGCTTTACGTATACTAATATTAGAAAAAGGAAATTTTGTGTCATAAAAACTGAAAAATACTTCGTTATCCCATACGTAGTTTAGTAACATCAAAATAGTTTAAAAAATGTCAAAGGAGGAAAGATTATATAAAGTATACAATAGTATGAGGCTATAAAACTACTGGACCGATTTGGAAAATTCTTCCACCTCTAGAATCTTACATTATTCCTGATAGGCTACAGAAAGTTTTCAAATAGCTTATGGATGTGTAGGTAAAATTTGATAATGTATTGACAATACAGCAAAGTGTCGTACGAAAGTTTTATAGGAGACAATATCTACAACGGCAACACCATGTATGTTTAATTAAATAAATATCCAGCCGGGACTGGACGCTGGTATTTATATTTACAAAAGTATCTGTCTTAAATGAAATTACATTATAATAATACGAAATAATATTAAAATATAATTTTACCAAGAATTTAGTATTAATTATTTAGTATAGTTAATGGAATCCCATTAACTATACTAAATTATCGCCCGGTTCCTATAATGAATTACAACTTAATTGAGATGGTTTATATGTGCCTGAAGATAATATACAAATCATAACAACTATTTGTAATGGGGATAAAGAGTGGTGTAAAGTTACGACGGTTACCTTATATAAGGTTTCTGGATATACAAACTCAACGTTATTGTTACGGATCGTAGTTTTTTTTATATATAGAAGCAGTAAAATATACCTGTGCCGATCACTACCAATAGGGAATGATATTCCGTTTGTATACTATTTCGTTACAATTATATAGGACTAATTGCCCCCGCAAACTTCATTACGCCTAAAATAGATTTTTTACTTGGTCTAACTTTTTAATAACTGCATACCAACATATGGAACATTTTCCTACATAAAGCCTTTTCGCTTTTCCGTAATAAAAACTGTTTATGTATTTTCGTGCAATTTTTCTCTCAATAAAAACCTTAGAAAATTACTCGAATTGGTCCAGTCATCTTCAAGTGTTGCGCTTAGCATTTTGCGAATCATTTTTATTATATATAAAATAAATAAGTGTTCAACAACTTGTTATATTAGATAAGTGTGAGATTTCCGTTAAAATGAAATACGGAACCATGTCAACAGCACCCATAATTTAGATTAGACCATTATCAGGAAATGAGTACGGGTAAATAATATAAAAAGGATTTAAGACAATACACAGGTACCATTCAAGAAACAACAATGTTGGGGGTACTTTCATTGGTGATTTTTGTGGCTGGCAGCTTAGCGTCGCCGAACGTTGGTTCAGCTCATAAAAAATACTACAAAACTGTAAGTATAACATTTCAAAGATTCTAATGGTGATGTTAAATTATTTTACGTTTTTTCTACGTATCTCGGCAGCAATTGAGTTTTCTTTTTTGCACGGTATAGGACGAATAGTGAAGAAACCGGTATGACTTAGACTTTATTCCCTATTAAGAAATATTCGAGAAACATATATAGGATCTATGGCCTAGGAACTAGGTTGGTAGCTCCAGTGATTTTTGAGGATTTTACAAGATTTGTTACGTTAAAAGGAATATAATTTTATGGAAAATCTGGAGTTTATTAGATGCGGAACATTTTGTTTACGTTAATTTAGTTTGTTTTATTTTATACCGTTTTTTAAAACTAGTCGGCCCAGTCACAATTTAAAGTCACTGGGCTTTTTTCAATACAGGGTCAAGAAAGCTTGACAGAAAGAGACAGAAATGTAGTTGAACCAGATTAAAAAGACAGAAAATATATATTTTAAGCATGATTAGTCGTCAGGCCATCATTATTATCAGGGTCTATGAGGGCCAGGAGGTCCTCTGTATTAATTGAGTGTCTTCATATATGTATGATGATCACATTTTTTTTTATTGAACACGGTCTGATGTCACCAACCGCCGCGCATACATGGATACACTCACACTGCCAATAGGCTCGCAAGTGTACTGTCGGCCTTTAAAAAAATATTACACTCTTTTCTTGAAGGACCCAAAATTGAACTGCTTGGGAAAATTTCTATATGCAGCTGGTTTCATTAAGTGACGGTGCGCTCAGTTGTGGAATAATTTTTTTCTTTTTATTATATGGAGATAAATATTCTAGCATGAAACTATTGCCGAAGCTGGGTATCCTGTAGAAACTCACGATGTTGTGACTCCAGATGGTTACATCCTGGAATTGGTAAGGATACCTCGTGGCAAAAATGATAATGGTAAAGTCCGACCACCAGTTCTCATGATGCACGGTCTATCGGACTACGGAGCCACCTATATTGCTCTTGGTCCAAAAGACAGTCTTGGTAAGTGTTGATACTAAAGTTAAGATTTGAGTTGTGTTCCCATTTCATTACTTAAACAAAACAAACAAAATGTGTTTTTACAGATTAATTTTATCATACTGTGATATATTGATAACACACTTTATGATCAGTGATCTCCTCTCATATATTATTTTAGTCAGAGTAAATTTTTTTCCAATTAAGTTTTTATATTGTTTAAATTATGCCCAAATTATTCGTTTTCTTCTATCGAGAAACTGCTAGGTGTAATGGCAGACAAAAAGATAAATGTAATTATTTTTACAGCATACAATTTAGTCGACGAAGGTGCTGATGTATGGTTAGCAAACGCGAGGGGCGTTGCCAACTCCCGTCGTCACATTACCCTGGACCCAGACAACGATAAACAGAAGAAGGATTTCTTCGATTTTACCTTCCATGAAATTGGAACAATCGATCTTCCAGCACTCATAGACTACATATTGAAAGAAACTGGTCAAAAGAAGCTTCACTACGTGGGACATTCCCAGGGTGGTACAGTTTTCCTGGTTCTCAACTCGATGAAACCAGAGTACAATGACAAAATCATATCAGCTCATCTACTGGCAGGAGTTGGTTACCAGAGTAATTTCCCCAATGCAGCCCTACGTGTAACAGCTTTGAGCGTTGACATGATCTTTGTAAGTATGAATTATGCTGCTAATATTAATAAAAATACATATTACACAACCTATAAATCAGGGTCAAGTCGAAAAATAACTGACAGAATTGTTTTTAATTTCCTGGGCTTCGCTATTACCCGCCCTTTCACCAGACTTCGACTTGACGTTTATTTATGGGACACCCTGTTTATTATAGGCATAGCTGATTTGCAAATAGACGCAAGCAATATAAATCTGAAGATACACTTAGGAAACTTCGTAAAGCTAAATTAATGTTAGGCTAGTGTTTAAGCTTAACAATATCCTCAGAGGTAGTGTATAAACGTTAAGCGTATTTTCAGAACTTCGCTATTAGAAGCGGGCTTATCGAGCTGATAGGACCAAATTGGGGAGACCAAATTGCTGAAATTGAAAATCAACAGACTTTGAGCCTAGGTGTTGATTCGAGGTCGTCTATTCTGGTAAGTGGTCATGATTTAAAGCGAGAGATTTTAAGTAGCCACAATGTTAATTCAATTATGAATTTCAGGATGACATAATAAACACCGAGAAACTACTGCCCGGTGCATCCTTAAAACAATATGCCCATTATGGCCAAAATATCCGTGATAAGAAATTCAGACAATGGAACTACGGAATTCAGAATTTGCGTAAATATGGACAACTATCTCCGCCAGAATATGATCTTAGCAAGATCACTGCTGATGTGACAATGCATTACACCCTCAATGATAATCTGCTTAGTGAACGAGATGTCTTAAATATGGCCAAAGTTATGCCCAAGGTGACTGTGAGAAAAATTGCCAGAGAAACTTTCACACACACAGATTTTGTAAGCGCAAACGATGCTAAAGAATTGGTAGTAGACTTTATTGTTGAAAAAATTGCCCGCTTCTAATAAATATTAATTTTGATCAAGTTTTGGTTTTTTTACTCTCAATTTAATAATAGGGAAAATGTTACCTAAGTGAGCTAAACAAAAACTCATAATAAAATATAAATAAATAAATGATGTGAAATTTTCACAACTTCATATTAGGTATGTTTAAAAGAACACCTTGTATTTCATTTTTAACACGTACTTAATTATTATATACTAAGTTTACAAAAAGGACAGACTAAGCTTTCGTTCTACCTCTAATTATTGAATTTACAAACAGTAAATCATTTACGAATATAATAGACGTCGTAGCACATACAAAAGAGTTAAAGTGGAAATGGACCGATCACATTGCCCGCATTTGTGATGGCAGATGGGTCACTTTGTGTGGGTCACCTTTTTAGGTCTGGGCCTCAGATTTCTGAATCTGTTTCATGATCATTTGTCTTATAGGCAAGTAATAAAAGTAAAAAGGTGATCAGCCTCCTGTGCCTGACACACTCCGTCGATTGTCTAAGGCAAGCCCGTCTCCTCGCGTTTTCCTTCACCGTTCGAGCGAATGTTAAATGAAAGTCCATTGTTGCATAGCCGGGAATTGAACCTACGACCTCAGTGATGAGAGTCGCACGCTAGATAGGCCCACTGCTGCAATTATATACTAGATGCAACGTTTATTCTCGTGTGTTTAAGTGTCTTATCCTTACTAGTAGTTATCTTGGACATTAACGGGATTACTAGCGGAGCATACGAAGCTTAATGTAGGAAGTCGTTTGGACTGGCTAGTTCTATGTTTTAACAATTTGAGAACTGTTTATTTTTTAAATTTCGTAAAAGCTGTCCCTACGTTTTGTGAGCTAAATAGCGTCTAATGGGTTACACTGTAAAACCAAAGACGAAGCGGTGCGTTTCGATTGACTTTGATTGGAAACGCAGACCAATTATCTAGTGTCAGAGATAGATTTATAGGCGTTTTTATCCACATTTTAAATATTCAACATTTAGGGCCTGTCCTAAAATCACTTTGCATCAGGGGTGACCCACTAAACCCTAACGAATTTGTTTGGAATATTGGCTCAGGCTTCGTCTCGTGACCATACAAATTAGTTTGGCGTTAGTGGGTCACATCTGTCGCTAACTGTTTTTTTTTAAATCCCATGTCACGAGCACTAAATAAATACTTAGTTGGTAACCAAATTCCTAGTGCTAACTATTTTTACAAACTTTATAGTTTTACCTCCATGAAAAGATATTATTTATTGACAGAAAAATTTGCACTTTTGGACTTTCTTTCTATGTGCGTATTTAACATTTGCTAGAACGGTAAAGGAAAACATCGTGAGGAAACCGACATGTTTTAGACCCAAAAAGTCGACAGCGTGTGTCAGGCACTGGAGGATCACCTATTTGTCTATTAGATTTAAAAATGATCATGAAACAGATTCAGAAATCTGAGGCCAAGACCTCGAGGTTGTAGCGCCACAGATTTTTTTTAAACATCCAATAACTATTTTTTTCCAACTATACAAGAAATTTACGCACGAAAAATCAAGATGGGCGCCATAAATCATACCAGTATTGCCAGTTGAGTTATCAATTTGCAAACTGCACATTCGCAGCGCAAACTATTTTAATTAATTGAAAGCAGTGGCTGGTGAAATTTGTGCAACTCACTCCTGCGTATGAATCACACGTGCGACTGTTTGCGCTTGTAATATCAGAAGTCGTTAAATATTATTTTAATTATTGCTAATTCTAGTATTTGCCATATTTAGTAATAGAACTGTACGAAATTCAATAAAGAACGACAATTCAAATCGGTTTTTATTTATTAACACTTAAATTAAATTATCATGATTCATGTGCACTTTTTACTTTTTATTTTTCATGTATTTTATTAGTTAGTTGTCCTTTGTGTGTTTAGTTTGTCTTTTCTTAATAACCATAATATGTAATATGTATTTTTGCACTTCTTGCCTACCTTATCTTATTTAATATTTTTTTGAAGTTATACTTCTTTAGGCGCGTTATGAAAATTTGATGAGAGTGAAATTTTACGATGCGCGCGCACCTATGACACAAAATTCGGAGTGTGATTATAGCGTGCGCAATCTACAAAAGAAATAGAATATAAGCTAACTTCACGCATATTCTATTTCTTAGCTTAGCAGCTTAACAAGAATTTTGAATATCCATGACAATTGACATCTGACAATGACATTTACCTTTTAAACAAATATAGGAGTTTGAATTATTGTTTAAAATAAAAGATTCTAAAAGTACCTAGTTATTTTCATTATACAAGTGCGAATTTTATATGTGCGTCTGAATTATAATCAGAAATTGAATATCTAAATCAATACTAATTAATATGATAAAATATTTGTGAAAAAACTGTGCCAACCTTCCTGAGTGCTTCAATACAATTGAGGTTAACTATCCGTATGTATTATCGAGTTTTATTGTTGATTAAAACTGAAACATGAACTTAATTAACTTTTGTTTATTGCGTTTGTTACAGCAACTTTTTAGAAATATTCTACGACCATATATATTAATAATTGAGAACAAAGATTTAAGCACGAATACTAATAAGGAGAAAATGAAGGCTTGGAGCGATATTACAGAGAAGTAAACATTTTAATAAGTACCTGCATCTCAAAAAAATGATTACATTATTTAATCAAAACATGTAATTTTTCAGATTTAATCTAGCAAATATAAGGACAAGAGACAAAAAACATTTTCAGTGGAAGTGCACTAAATTGAATAAAAAAAAAGAGTTGTCATCTTATCGCCGTGAAACATCAAAAACAAGAGGTGGAACAAAGCCACCATCACCTTCTCCAGACACAATGGATATGGCAGAGATGATACCGCAACGGTTTGAAGTAGATTTCAATGAATTTGATTGTGATGGTGTCGAGGTAGGAATGTTAATTATAAATATGATGGTGATGTTCAAGGCTCAACCTCTCAAGCATAGGCACATACTTTATTCCCCTACAGGGTAGTTAGAGATATTGTAATACCTCAAAACATCCATGTTGCTCTTGTAGTACCGAAACTCTGTCCAGCCAGAAGTGAGCCCATTCCCACTTATAATGGACAGTGGGTATAATACACCTTAATACCTGAGTGCGAACCACTCACCATGACACTTAAATTAATAGATGTTATTTATATATTTCAGGATATTACAAATAAAATCATTTTGGAAACAATTGCTATCCCAAAAGCAAATAAAGCCAACAATGACAAGGTAATAAATCAGTTTTGACATAACTAGAATACTAAAAAAGCCAAACAAAGGTGTGCACAACAGTGACAACATAACTTAACAATTTCATTATTTTGTAGGATTAAAGAAAGGTTAAAGAAAATCATGTCGAACTGATCAACAAGAATCCCCAAACAACTTAAAAGAAACCTACAAGGAAGACACCGGTATTATATTTAAATTATCTCTATCTCTAAATAGAATAAAAGAAAGTTGCTATCCAGGTCTGTAGCATGTGCTACAAATTATATTATTAACACATTTATATAATTATATTAATATAAATGTGTTAAAAATTTTATAATATGAATTATAAAATTTTTTTATTTTGTAAGAGAATAATTATAAATATTTATTTATTAAATTTTTCAAATGTAAACTGAACTTTATTGACTATAAAGACTCCTTTTCCAGTCTTTGATTATTTAATTATAATTAATTATTTGCATGCAATCAAAATCTATTTCTAATAATGCCAAAGAAGTATAACTTCTTACGCGCGTACATAAGTACACGCACCCTTTTTTTTTCTTTTCTCGATCGCTCGAAAGCGATAAGGATGCCAGTTGCCCAAATCACAATTGATACTTTATATACAATAAAGATGTCGAACGCTGCCAAACGCGGAGCCCGATTGTGCCTCTTTGTCGCTCGTTCCGTGCTCTCGCTTGCACTTCAAGCCTTAAATGGAACGCCTCTGAGCGAGGTGCGTGCGAGCAGCCCGCTCCATCGAATTATATGACGTTGTCGCGTCAAAAAATTATGTATCAAATTATAAATCCTGTTTATTTTAAAGTAATTTCCGTTACGAAATATATTAAATTCGTGATTATGTTGCAAAAATATATAATCAATACTATATGTACATCGACTATATATTACGACAGTGCTTTAATCTGAAAACTGCTTAAATCGACGATTATAGCACATCAGGCCGATCTCATACTTCCCTATAAAAAAAACATAAAACAAACAGAACATTGAGTCTTGGCGTATGTAACTTATAAATAAAATTTATTTTATATTTTATTTACGCAGGTGATATAAAATATCGTATACAAACTGACTTCTATAATTACTTACTAAGTAATTTACGAAAGTGCAAAAAATAAATAATCTAAATAACACTAACACGTATATATATAAACAGGCGATTTACATGAGAGAACATATAAGCCGTTACGTAAGATTAATAAAGCTTACGCAGTACGAAGTTGCAATCAATACAATTGGAGGCAATATCTAGGCCTATCACGCAGCTACCAGTGAAATATTGGTTACTTTGAGCAAAGCGTTAACTCAAGATTCCCTTTGGAGTAGTTTGGCCCGAATTAAACGTGATACGAGTTACAATAAAGTCCCAGTATCGGACAAGCAATTCGTTAGCACTTGATTTGTGATCTTTATCGGTAAGAATGATATTGTGATTATTTTTCATAGCAAATAAAATACATAAAACAATAAATAAATAAATCGCTCTAATAAATATTAAACCTTTTTTTATGTAATAGGAGGTGAATGGGCTGGAGGCTCACGTGATGTTAAAAGATATTGCCTTGCAATTGCGTTGCCGGCCTTTTACAAAATTTAATTTGTCTAAAGCAAGAACAGATTCTTTTTCAAATTGTTGTAATTATATAACAAAGTTCAAATGTTCTATACGACGAGTCGTAAGGTCTTTAGTTCAGGCGAAATATAATCATTTCTAGTTCAAAATGTGCCATTTAAATGTTAACAGAAC